AATCGAATTCTTATACCTAATAGTCTAGCCAGGAAGTCTTATTCAATGGATGCATTAGATAAGACCAAAACTTTGATCTTATTCAATGCATCCAATGAATAAGAAATTCCCAAATAGATTATTAGGTTTGAATAACATTGTCACAACGGTTTGTGTTTTTAAGCCTTGAATTGAACTTGTTATATGAATTGTGGTTTTGCAGGAAAGAGGAACAATGACAGAGGAAGAACATATAGGGCAGTGGTGAACAATAATGAATGAATGAAAAAATGCAACAGATTCTCAACTTGAATTGTGAATGGATCAGAAGATGGAAAGTTAAATACGTACATAGTAATAACTCAAAATAGATTCATTTTGTAAAAGCATGACGACATTAGTAACAACAATTTCAAGTACTTGAAATGGTTCGAGTGCAATCAGCAACCTTAAAATTGTAAATTGCAATAGTGTATGATATGGTGGTCGCAATGAAATGTGTCCATATGTATTTGGAGAATAGTAATAGAGAGGACTTTTGACTGAGAGCTTTGCTCTAATGAAAGAGGTAATATTTTAAAATTACTCTTGATTTTTGTTCCATCCCTCCTCAATGTATCGATTTCAATTTTATCCAATTTCATAATCTAGCTATTTTTTCTTTGTGTATGTATTATTTTTTGATCATCGAAATTTTGTTATACAAATTGTATACATCTTGCAATTCTGAATTTTCTTCTACATTCTTTTTAAATGTAGAAGAAAACTTTGAATGTCTTGTTTTCTGTTCATCCAATTTTTGTTATAGAAATTAAAATGCTAAGTCCCGTAATTCTTACAAAAAAAAATCTAATTTTGAGAGTATTTTTCATAAGTTCTTAGTTCAACACTCTTCTAAATATAACTTATAAGTAGGAGACTCAAACTAAGATTTGATCAAGTTAGTTTTTTACCATTTTACCATAAATAATAGTATTTGTCACAAAAAATTATGATGAATCCATGTAATTAATCTTTTTTTTTCCCTAGTTGGTACTCACATGCCTCCATAGAGGATCGAACCCCTAACCCCCCTTTAGAAAGTAAGGACTTGGTACTGTTAAGCCACAGGCCTGGTGGTGAATCCATATAACCTTTTTGCACTATAGGACATTTAAAAAAGTAATAAATAAAGAAGAAGAAGAAGAAAACTATCAAAATTTATCAATAAAAATTCAATGTGGTGCGGTTCAGTTACATGGGGGCTTTTAGGCCGTCTTGCTTCTGGTAGCCTATGCCGGATTTGGCATTTTTGTATTCCTAGAATATGCCAATTTTCTTTTCTTCGATAAATTTCACTTACCCATGTGTGTGTGTGTATATATATATATATTGTTGATATCAGTTCTTGATAAGTTGAAGAGATCGTTTCACATCTGTTGGGAATGCTGAGATCAGAAGCTGAGTGGAGCTCCAAACTAGCACAAGGGATTCTCCGTAGAGAAGATTGAGAGAGAGAAGACAATTTTGTTTAACACTCTATGGTAGCTCGAGTCCTAGAGGACCATTCTTTATAGTTATGGTTGTTGGGGTGCATATGTCTTCCAACCTCTCTAAATGATGAGAGTTTAGTCATATTTATACTACTTTTATTTGGGTAAGGACCCTTGGTCATAAGAGCCAACTCCTTTTTTATCCAATGGTCGTTTTACCTAGGTAAGGACCCTTGGTAACGAAGGTAGCTCATTGTTTATCCAATGGTCATTCTGTGAGATATATACTTAATATATTATGCAATCTTTACTACTCGAGCTCAGCTATTGGGTATTAAGCATTCTCTCCCCCTTGTGTAGACCTCGAGGTGAGGCGAATCCTTAAAACTCAGCCATCTAACCACTGATACTCAGATTCTAGTGAAATAGGAGGAGATATGGGAATTGTTTGAGACTTGCCTGCTTTGGTCCCGAGCTTCCACACTTCCTTTAAGCCTCGAGCTCCTATGCAGGGGGAGCTCGGGATGAACAGTATAGATGATCTAGATATAAGCCCTATCTGTAGGGAGGAGGCCTCAAAGATAGTGCATAGCAATACCCATCCAATTGGAGCGAGGTACTTCCATGATAGCAAGAGAGTGAAGGGTAGCGACCCCTCCTCTAAACAGTGTAGGCACGTAGAAAGAAGCCAATCTAACTGGAGCGAGGCCTCCCTCGTGAGGCCAAAAAGATAGAGCTTTGGCGTACGGTACAGGCTCTTTACAATATGCAAATGTGGCCTTTGTGGTCTTGCATTAATAATATTAAAATGGCAGGTGGCATCTGCAGTAGAGCAGTCATCTGCATGTGTGTGTGTGTGTGTGTGTGTATTTGTGCATGTGAAACAGGTGATGCTTAATTGGAAATGATACTGACACAAGCATAATCATCCATTTTCTCAAATCCATTATATTAGTCTCCTCTACAAACGATAGTTAAACCAAATTAGAAGTAAAAATTAATAGAGAAGTCAATACAGATATGGCACTAACGTACAAAATTAGACATATTCCTTGGATTTGGATCCATTTGGCGACTAGACCACCTTCCATGGACTTTGACCATTGACCCCAAACAAAGTACCTTCTTTCCACTTATCCCTCCATATAGCTATCATCTGTAAAGTCTTTCAACTCAAGCATTCAAGCTCTTTCATGGACTTCCAAGACTTATACAGCAATATTCAGGCCAATATGGACTTGGAAACAGACTCCAGTACTCTTGAAGCTGAAGCCAATCAAAATGATGTTTTCTATGCCGAGCTCAGAAGGCGAATTTTGCTTCTGACCGAAGAAGAAGAGGATGATGATGATTTTCTCGGGAAAAAGTATTGTTCAAACTCCATGGGAGTGGCCAAACATTGCTCAAGCATTGCTGCAGTACCGCCCGGAAGCTGTTTCAGCTGGTTGGAAAATGAGAATGGTGATTCTGTGCCCACCTGGCTTCTGAACTTGTGGAGGAACAACGGGAATGGGAATGGGAATGGGAATGGGAATGGGAATGGGAATGGAAATGGAAATGGAAATGGAACTGGGGTATTCATACCTCATATTGTCAAATCCAGAAGAAGATATAGGCCAAGTAAGTACGTCCTTCTTCAACGAAATTGAATTCTTAGGGACCTAATAGTCTAGCTGGGAAATCTTACTCACCGGATGCATTGGATTAGACAAAAAATTTGATCTTATTCAATGCATTCAATGAATAAGAAACTCTGAATTAAACTATTGAGTCTGAATAGCATTGTCTCAACAAAAACTAAATATATACTTTGGCCGAGAAATCTTAAACATTGAATGCACTCGAGATAATGTTAAAACTTTTATCTTATCTAATGCATTCAATAAATAAGAAACTCTCGAATGAATTATTAGGTCTGAATAGCATGTCTCAACAAAAACTAAAGAAATACTTCGGTTTGTGTTTTTAAATCTTGAATTGAACTGATTGTTGTATGAATTGTGGTTTTGCAGGAAAGAGGAACAATGAGAGAGTAAGAACGTATAGGGCAGTGGGGAACAAGAATGAATGAATGAAAAAATGCAACAGTTTCTCAACTTGTGAGGGTCAGAAGACGGAAGAGTAAATACATAGTAATAACTCAAAATATATTCATTTGTAAAAGCATGATGAAATTAGTAACAACAATTTCAAGTACTTGAAATGATTCGAGTGCAATGAATCAGCTACCTTAGTCAATCACCTTAAAAATGTAAATTGGAATATGATCATATGATGGTGTCCATATGTATTTGGAGAACAGCCAATATGAGTAGTCGAGATTGGATGCATTTTGTCGCAAAATTTGTTGCTTCCCAAGGTCGGCCTAACAAGAGAAAAATACTTGGTTTATATATGTTTTGTAGAAATTATTATTTACCACATAATGGATAATAGCTGGCCAATTTAGTGCTTCCAATGGGCTTTAGAGCGTCATGTTTCGACTCTCTGCATCTACTAACACTCTTAGCCTTTTTAAAATAATAATTTTTTTGTTTGACCATCAATACCACCACCACTTTCAAAAGTGGTAAAAGTATGAAGGATGCAAAGATATGTTTTTAGCATAATGGTAATAGTATAATCTCTCTTCATCTTAAAAAATGGAGCGAAATAGTTTCAACTCAAGTATAGATAAAAGGTGCGTATGAATGAATGCGGTGAAAGAAAATAATAATTAAAAAAAAAAGTTCAAAAGAACGAGAACCAATAATAAATAATAGCTAAATCAATTAATAGTTACATTTTTGAGTTTTCTTTCCCCTAATCAAAATCTCAACTCCTAATGCACTAGATGACTTTTGCACATTTTAGATTGAGCATGCAAGATACTTGTTTTTGATTCAAACACTTGCACAAACACATTTATTTTGAGAATACAACACGATTACATATTATAACAAAATTCAGATACTGTAACATCTTTATATTGTTAACTAGGAAAAAAAAAAGTTTTTATATTGTTATTGCATCCTCCTTATAAGATTGTTCCATTCTCAATTTAATTTGTTATGTGGTTTTAAACCTTTCATATTCAGAACAATTTAATTTGTTGTGTCGTTTTACACCTTTTTCATATTCGGATCCATATCCGAAAAAGATTGTTTCAAAGCTCCCACTTACTGCCATGTATATCTATGGCGCTTGCGCATGCAATAGAGACATATCAGGTCCATCTGGGTTGGATTAGGTTCATTTTGAGATCCATCTGGGTTGGGTTAGTTTCTTTTGACGTTCTTTCGAATAATGTTATTAAAAGAGTTCTTTTGTCACAAGAGTCATGAGTTTTTAACATTCAACCACTAAATTAAAAAATATATTAAATAATTAATCCAATAATTAAATGTGAAAAGTTAAAACTTTTTGATAGCATTACTTATTTTCTTTTACGGTTTACATGGTGGTTTAATTTTAAGTTTGTTTGACTGCGTTTATTTTATGTTGCTCTCTGGTCTTCTTGTTTGTGGTATAATCAAAATCCATACCGAGACAGAATAACAAACACAAAAATTCTTTAGCAAAAATACAATGATTTGAAGATGCAAAACAAAGTCAACATTGGTTACAGTTTCCCTTTCTTAGGGTTAGGGACACATTGGACTACTCCACAACCCCAAACCCTCTTTACAATGCCCTACACACTCCCATCCTATATCATCAATTCAGAGATCATAATTTAAGACAGCAAAATTACAGATAAAAAGGAAGAGAGAAGGAGCCCTTTCAACACTTCCATGAATAAAACAGAATGGAACCAGATACACACAATTTTCAAACGCGGAGTGTTTCTTCTACTTGGCCATCAAACCGACTGTGGGTTAATACTTCCCTTGCTCGTGCACTCCGGTGTTGCAGGCGCTGATGTAGTGTCTCCGACATCTGGTTGAAGAATTCAGCATCCCATCTATGTATCAACAAAGGGTCTTCTGCATAACAGATGTAAATGGATGTAACAGCACTTTCCACCACAACCATCGCCAGTCCCACCTGGACAGAACCAAATATACCAAACCGTAAGCATTGGGCTGAAATCAGACTAATGGTGGCACCAAGGTACTGTGTAATTTACCTCCAAATCCATATCATGCAAAAAAAAAAATTCAACTGAAAATAGAACAAGACTAAGAATATACCAAATTGACCGGTCAAATATATGGCAAGACGGCAGCCTGAATCTCCATACAAGGGTATTTTTTAATCTAGTGTTGAAGGGGAGCACTCATAAGAAATCAGGAATAACCACAAAATGCTGACTGCTAAAATATTTACTACATTCACGGCAATGTCTTTTGAACTAAAGCTACTACAGTTCAACATAATTGCTGCAGAGTCAATGCAACGCCAATTATTTATACAGAAATTACATCCTGGAAATTTTCAGGTGTAATGACTAACAAATCTTAGTTCATGCTTCATAGACTAAAAAATTTCCACCTGTTGGAAAAAAAGAGGAAGATACAGACTAAAAATTTGCTGCCTTGAAGGAGTAAATTTACCAATCTCAGTAGAAGAAGAAAATGCAGAATAATCAAACAGATTTCATAACACTACAATTTTCAAGAATCACAGGCAATCCCTATAATTCTTGACTTTTATTCTAAACCCCAACTTCTGAGCACACATCAAAGAATATAAAAGGAAAAATGATCAGTATGAACCATAAATTAATTTTATAAAACTAATAATTCTGGCTACAGTCCAACCAGGAAACAGCAATGTAAAAGGATAATCCTTTTAATGAAGCAGGAAAAACTATGATAAACTTACCAAGATCATCCCCATCAACATGCAAGTGGACCCCACCATAATCACTCTGTCAGGAGATCTAATCCTTGCCCAAACACCTGCACAAGTTCCTGTAATAAGCCCACCCAAAAGAGTGGTCATCAGTAGAACCGCACCCGAACAATCATAGGCAATGAGTGCTTCAACGCCAGTTGATTGGAACAACTCCCAGGCATCTCTTGCCGAGTGATTAAAGCCTTTTCCATACACTGCAATCTGAAGGGAACAGAGGTTCCAAATCATGCTAAGCTGTACACTTTCTAGAGAATTACAGTTACTGATGCCTAATAACTTGACTCAAATTTTAAAGAAATTAAATAATATCTCAAAAAGATCATTTTTTCCAGAAGAAGAAGCCATTATCCTTTCTCACATAAATGATGAAGTTCCACAATAAACATTTTGAAATAGGAAAATAGCTAGAACCCTTGGTACTTTTTAAGAAAAAAAATTAACAAGAAAAACTTTACATTCCAAAAACCCTGAAAACCAAAAGCCCATACCCAATCCTTAAACATCCATCTAGTACTATTTGTGAAACAGAAAGAAAAGAAAAAAGAGTGAAATTCTCACAGTGCTTGAAAGACAAGAAATGACTCATTAAATGGGGCTTGTGTCCTTGAGGGGCTATCAAGACATTGGGGAAGAGTATATTTCCGTCCATCCAGCTCTCGCACCCACCCCCTTCCATGATGTACGGCACAATCTTGGCAAACCACAGTGAAGGCCATTTCAGCATCTTTGGCATACAATGCCAATAACACCTTTGACTCAGTGCTCCTGACCTATTTTCCTCTCTACAACAACAAGCCTTTTTTCCCAACTACTTGGGGTCAGCTACATGAATCTTATATTTCCATTCCGCTCTAAGTCCATAGACTCAGACTCTCAGTCAAACAACATGCTATCATATCCTTCTTTTACTAACTCTGCCCACGTTAACTTTGGTCTTCCTCTTCTCCTAGTATTACCTCAATGTAGACTTGGTTAAATTGATCTAACACCTCCCATGATGGCATGAACAACACAAGAATTATCTCTCCATATCAACAACAGGTTATCATATCCATGAACCACATTACACATACCACAGACCAAGTTTGATTAGTTCATATCAAAGCAGTAGAAGAAAAAATTCAAAAGAAAAAGATTAAAAACGAAAAAGAAAAGAAAAGAAAAGAAAACGGAAGAAAATAAAAAGAATTTAGATGCATGCAAAAGATGCCTCAGAAAACCTTATTCCAAATGTATTCTGTGCAAAACCAAGTCAACCAAAAGACAGAAATTTCAGATTATTCATATAGCGAAATGGTCTTATTTCTGGTTCAGGTGTTTCTTATTTTTTCCTGTAGTAAATCAACATTAGTTGGTAAGAAACTATAGCACATACATATTCAGCACCACAGGTTTCAAATGTTGATTCATGCTACTATTCGAGGCACGGATCATCATTGATGTTCTATAAATATCTCTTCTGTTTTCACCTTGACCCAAACAATTTCCAAAGGAGAATACTCCACGCAGTTATTAACCATTGTGCCATAAAGAACGCTGATCAAATTAATTGTAGGCTCCAACACAATTTTCCTCCATGGGACAAACCAATCTCTAATATTTGTTCATCCATTATGTTTCGTGTACTGTACAAATAGACGCATGAACCTAGAAATTTTGAGAACTGAGGATGTAAACCACTTGTCCAAACCTTGGCAGCCTCCATTCTAGACTTCTCCATAACTATAGTTGCTCGACTTGAGTGGTCCGTATTTGGTTTGAAAAGGTAGTTGCTTGTCTTCTTTGGTGTTGGTGTTGGCGTTGGTGTTATGTAGTTTTCATTTTCATTGGGATTGTGTAAGATTACTCATCTTTCTTTGTCTATGTATCCTTGCCTTAGTCTTAATGGTAGTTCTTTTTTTTTAGATGAATATTCTTCTTCTTTTCCCAGAAAGAAAAAAAAATCCAACAGAAGAGTCGTGTCATGCTCACAAAAGGATGTGAAGAACTTATTTCAGGTGAGAAATGAACGCCACAAAATTCAGGCTTCATATCTTGAAAATATCATCAGGTTATGAAAATATCATCAGGAAGGCAAAAGAGATCTCTTTTGTAACGTGAAAGTTCATTTTATAGTACTTGACAATATCTCAAGCAACCACATCAACAAAAGAAGTTCTATTTTTCTTCCCCTATCTGATAATTTGAAAAATAATCAATCAGACTGTATAATTTGTAAGAAATACATCTATTTATAAGGTTATTGTAAAACTGTAATAACTCAGTTACATAGTCTGAGCTCGCAGTGGTGTGAAAAGAATATATAGCCTGTGAATATCTCCTTTAACACTCTATAGAAATATTATCAGTGGTCAACAAAAGTGGGATGTTACAAGAACCTTAAGACTGTTTGTCATATATATGATATGTGTGAAATTACCACAAAAAGAAGGAATTACTACCTGGACATAGGCATACTTGTTGAAAAACCGAACAAGAGTCTCCACCAGATGAAACAAAAAATCGACACAGCACAGCAAGCACTCATTGTTACCAATCTTAGATCTGAATCCTCTAATCTGGAAATATTCAATGAAACTGCAACATTAATCATAGTTTTCCACAATTATAAAACTACCTTATCTATGAACAATCCACATGTAAAATTAATTTTCAGGCCATTTAAGAGCAAAGCAAATGAAAGTTTGTCTACCTTCCATCGCAATGTCCGGATAGCAGCGGTAAAAAGTGATCCATAGCAGATGCTGCCAAAAGAAGTTGTTACGGCATATCGTAGAGATTTCATAAGTGGATTGGGAGGCATTGATTCCGCTTCTCGACCACCGTGGATGAGAACAAGAAACACCATTCCAGACACTATAACATGCACGGTGTTACAGAGCACTGCACCTGTCCAAAACAAACTAACCGAGAACACCTGCATATATACAAATAACAGCATTTTTTTAAGTCATTGGCTAAAGTGTATTAAAATAGTACTTTTTCGCAAAAAAGCCATTAACCCAAGGATACTAAATGGAATGAAGAACAAAACTTGCCAGCTCACCACAAGAAGCCACCAGCGTCCACCATCACCCATGCTTGAAGCCACAACACCAGCTGATCCAAAAGACCACAGTACTAGCCATGAAAGCATGACTAACATGGATGCATATGCTACTCTCATAACGTCAGGAAGGTTCCATACCATCTTCACAGCTCTTTGCAGCACCAGCATGGTAAATGGAAGTCTACACAAAAACAATATAGAATCAGGAGAACTGCAAACAGTTCAATTAAGAGGCCATTTCCATATATATTCATAATTCTAGAAAGAGAGAGGACAGTTAGAATAACATAGCATCAGAAGAAAGCAACTATTCTTTGAAAAACAGAGTTAGACAATGCAATCTAATTCTTCAGATTGACATGTGGGGAAACACATCCAGTTTTCATTGCGATACGATTTCACATTTACAAATATATCATTTGGTAGAAGTAACAAAAAAATAATTGTTAATTAGTTTCCAGATAAATTGGACTATTATGTGTCTTACAACAGGTTGTAGAACATCACTGGGAATCACAATATACTCCAAAATGGGATGAAAATAGCATTTTGCAATAGGAAAATATCTAGAACCCTTGGTACATATTTCAAAAAAAGAAGGAATAATAAAAATAAAATAAATCCATTCACTAGGTTAACACAAAATATTGGAAAAAAAATTTAAAAAAAAAAAAAGAAAGAAATAATCAGCCAAAGCATGATACCTATCAACTAAAAAAAAAAAAAGAACTGTCCTGTTTCCAGAAATGAATAAGTGAAAATACTCTATAACATATTCAGCTGTTTTACTTTTTTTTTTTTTTTGATAAGTGTTCAGCTGTTTTACTTTTTAAAACTTTTTTCAGCAATTGCGTAAAATACGAACCATTTTCAAGAAGCAGTAAAAACTAATATCCTTCATTTCCAAAAGCGACATCCTTTCAACCACTAAAAGCAAATATGTTCTTAGAGATCTCATACTTCGCAAAAATTCAGCAAGGTTGCTTGAACTTTCTGGAAGGTCTTTGTAAGCCAAAATATGTTTAATCGATACTTGATAATGACTAGAGAGTAAAAACTACTGAGGCTTGGACTAGAAGATAAACCATCAGTGTAATGATCCATTACTAGAAGTGAAGTAACTTCAATCTGTAACTACTTTGAGCAGTTATATACGTTCACAATCAGGAGCATTAATGATCACAAAAGCAACAACTTCTGCTTGACATAGAATAAATAAATAATGGTGAACAATCCTTTTACACGGCGTAAGAATAACTTAATCTTATCCTTGACAATAAATTTTAATGGGAGTCATCTTTTGACAATCGAACCTTTGAATTGATTGTTATTATCATGTTTATCATGCATGCAAAAAATCAAATTAAACAAATATTCATATATCTCATAAACATCACACTTTACAATTTCATTCTAAGATTTTATCAAGAGAAATATGAATACAAGGATAGGACACTTATCTCTGTTTACTTGATATTTGACATACATGGAAAAACATTATAAAGGTGCATAATCTAATGGTTAGATTGATAGAAAAGGAGCTTTACATCAAGTTACTAAAAAAGGATTTAAAAGTTAACTATTCTTAGACTAGGTAAAAGTCAATCCTGCCCCATAGAATATATACACCCTACAAGAAAAGAAGCAACATATGCATTAAAATGAAAGATAATCGAGTACTCCCACCCTAAAATTAAAAAATTAATATGATACAAAATGATAATCAGATAAAAGCTACTATGAGTCCCACGACCACACCAAATAATTCTGTTGAGCAGTGATTCTTGGGTTTAAATAATGTCAATCAGACAACCTAATCAGATTTTAAACACCATCAAATGTTTATCTATTTGTTAATTTCTCTGGAAATAAAGTATGCATAGCACACTTCATGATGCACCAAAGTATACATCTATATTTATACAAATGTTAGAACTTTTCAAGCAACCCTTTCAAGAATATGAATGTTGGTGAATGAGTTTGGAAGGGTTATTCCAAGCTAAAAAAAAATGGAAACCTTATGCTAAATTCAAAAAAAACATTTGACTACATGCATTATCTTTTAAGAACTATGAAATCCTCTTCTCACATATTGAGCAATATTTTGAACATCTAATTTTTGGTTCACTTTGGAGTTTGGCCACTCTAAAATGTTTCAATGTATGAGAGGCGGACCATCTCGACAGGAATCACTCACTAGTAAGACAACGCAAAGGGATATTAGCAAGATGGGATGTAATGAGAAGAAGCATACTTAAAACGCAACCGTCTGGTTGGCCAAAGACTTGCCAGGCTGCAAAGTATTCTTTGTCCATAAATTAAATTCCAGAACAATTATTAAGTGCAGAGTACTAGGTTTGATACTTTGAATTTCAGTTTAACTTTGAGAACTCTAGAAGTAAAACAATTTTCTAGAATCTTAAGTATATGAAGAAGAACATGATACAAAATTATACCCTACTGGCATAAATTATCAAGTATCTTTTACCAGCCCCATTAATAGAATCTAAGGATTGTAATTTAACATTGAATTGGACAAATCATATGAAAAATGCTCGAGCATCGCCAAAGAGCAAGTGACATATAGTACATATTTCTGCTTCACAAAATCCACATCTTCAGAATGTAGTGTTGTAAGTTTAAAGATTCCCATATTCAATTAAAAGGGTTTTGCATAACGCTAATCCAGTGAACTTATTCCTTCATAATTCATTTCTGCCCTTGTTATAGGGTCGCACGATATATCCCACAAGACATGGCCACTCTAACCATTGCCAGAATACCAATATAAAGCATATACAAACAAAAGGTCAAGACTTTACCTGTCGATGACTGATATAACATACAAGAACTGCAACCCCGCACCAATAGCAAATGCAACACCCCAGAAGAACTGTTGTGCCCAAAAACACAAAACACTAACCACGGCAAGATAAGTGGTCAAGATATGCACTGACACTTTCATCATCTGATTCGCGCGCGAACCAAGCAGCAACAACCAAACCCCTCCAAGAACTGTCCCAACTCCGGCGGCAACAGCATATAACGGCCAGTAATACTCTGTTAAACCCGATTGATTCTCGAGGAACCCATTTGTGTACTTATCAATGTTAAGCCTATCCTTCTTCTTAAATCTATTAAGCCCCAGTACCCCAAGAATGAAACCTAACCCAATCAAATGCAACAAAAACACCCCTAACCAGAACACATCCCGCCAATGGCGCGAAGCCTCGGGAGTCAACTCTGAAGATAGCGAGTGATTAGCATCGGCACTTCTTCGACTTCGCCCCATATTCTAAAATTCAACACACGCGGTAATAATTAGACTCATAAATATATATAAAAACTTATATAGCGAGATTGAAACATAAAACTTTTGGATTTTGAAGTTGTTTGATGATGAATTGAAGTGAAAGGTTCGGAGGGATGATGATCGAGAGTGTGAACCTGTTCGGCGGCGTTGATTGAAGAGTCATCGGAGGAAGAGAGGCTTTGAGAGTCGCTCATGGTATGATTGATCGGACTGTGAGGATTTGATTACAGGAGAGGAGGAACATCGTTTGATTAGATCGATATAAGTTAGGGAATTAGAAAGAGAAATACATAAGAGAAGACCACAAGAGGACCCAGAGGGAGAGAGAGTGGTCAATGGCTATTTGTTAGGGTTTTGAATGTTGAATATAGAGTAATTGAGACGTCTAGAAATGGAGTGGAGAAAACTGAAAACGGCTCTCTGAGAATCTTTTTGATTGAGAGAGAATGATAAATTTTAAAAACAAAATGAAGAATTTAAGTGTAATTTATTATTTAATAATTATATGTAAAAAAATTAATTTCTAATTTTAAATAAATAAAATTACAAAGAGTGCGGTCCCTGCACTCTTTCAAATTAAGTATTATTTTGGATCTCTGCACATTTCACCGAAAATTCCCGTCCCTATCTACTTTTGCGAATACCGGCAAAAATTGAATGAAAACCAACACTTTGAGAATAGATCCATTAGGTCTCTAAACTAAGGATGGAAATTTGTACCGTGGAAACAGGTATCCGCGCCATCCCATTCTATTTATAGTAATTTTTGGGGTCCATTAGTTAATTTGAGCGGGAATAATTTTTATTAATAAAAATTTGCACTGATTTGAGGCGTAGGCGTGAGGAAGTCGTCCCGCCCCCATTTAGGTAGGTAAATTATTAAATTATCATTATGTTATTAATATATATAGTTAGCTCTATAAATCTTAAGTCACATTCATTCACTTTTTCAGTCGTTCTAGAGAGCGGCATAACCTTACGAACTAAGAACACTCGTATTCTTAAATTTTTATGTTAAATTATTGATTGGCTATTTTTTATGAATTTTTTCAATAGTTCTATAATTGTATTGGAGGAAAAAAAAAAAATTGAGGAGAAAAAGTTTCAATAGTTTTTAGCTCCGGATTACCCCCACGTGCGTTTAAGCTGTTTTGAATGAGGAGGGGACGAGGCGAGGGTTTTTAAACATTTGCGGAGGAGGGGGAGGGTACACCCGCCCCAAATCGTCCTGTTACCATCCCTACTCTATAGACCCTTCTCTGCCCTGAATCGTCCCGTTGCCATGCCTACTCTGTGCTCGCCCCTCCTTTGCAGACCAGTGAACACTAAAAAGGAAGATTTAAAAAATAAATAAATGAGGTAAGTCAACATTTTGTCCATTCTTAAAACCAATTTGCATTATACAAGGTTAATATTCGTGTGTGGATTTCTCATTACGGTGGTCAAGGAAATAATTGAAATGATAGATTATTTGGATTTATGTTTAAATTCTTATTATACGTCTAGTGGACAAAATGATTGATATTAATGAAATTATTAGGAAAGGATCCACTTTGGTTCATTTGTATGGGCTCATATGAAAGAAAAGTATTCTTTGATCCTTGTCAATGTGTTTTTTTACTTTTATGGTTCTAGAACTCAGTACTTTCTGTGCATATTCTCTTCCTTGCCATATTATCCACATATTACCAGTGTGTGAAAGTGACTGTTGGGTTCCAATTGTCCACATCAGGAACACAGAACAAACTTTAATACCATCCAATTGTGGTTAGTTACCAGCAGAGCTTGGGCATGTTACATTTCCCCAAATGGCAATGGTTATCTCCTCTGCCAATTTGCCCACTAACCCTCTAATATGAAAATAACATTGATCTAATATTACTGACAATATTTAACCCCTCAGTGAGTCATATTCACCGCGCTCCAATCACAAATACATATATAATTATAAAATTAAGAAAATAATCAATAAGGAAACTAGTCGCTATTGACTCGATTTTTATTTCTTTTACTTTTCAAATGTGTTATTTATTTATTAATAACTGAAAGTGATGTGTTATCAATAAAGAATACTTACTCATTGATAGTGATAAGGAAACTAGTTTGGGGAGGGGGACGACATCTCTATCACCGTTTAGTATAGCTATCTCATCTCATCCAAAATCATTTATTAAACAAAGTGAGGCCAATTTTTGTAAAGTACTTTCGTGATTATATTATGAATATAATGAAAGTAAATAATGAAACAAAATTTCAACTATTATAATATTTTTTTTTTTCTTATTCGGATAAAAACAAGATTCAATTTCTCAATCGGAACTTGAGACTTAATATTATTACAAGAACATCAAAACAATACGTTGGAGTTCTCAAATTAATAAAACTAATGCAAAATGATATTTAGTGATTGGGATAAATCAAATTTGTTTAATATATACTTAATATTATGGAATATAAAAATAAAGTATCAGGATAAAATTATAATTTATCATTATAAATATGCGGAATGACATTTCTCCATCTCTATCCCATTATCATGCAGAGTTTCAATCTTAACTCTCATCGTCGGCCCAAAACCATTTAACCACAATCATAACCATTCTAAATGGGACGAGGGCAGGTGGAGTACCCAACAAGGCAGAATATATTGTCATTTTGAGTAACTATTATCTTATAGATGTATAAACTATACTTAATTTTTTTATAATAAAAGTTTTCGTATGTGTTTTCTTAATATAAAAGAAGATTTAAGATAATTGTATAACTAAAAGTGTTTGATAATCTCCCAAGTTACCAAAGGGCCTTTGGCTCAATAGTATAATCTCCCCCTCTCCAAAGAAGAGGGGAGGGGTTTGAGTCCCTCCAAACAATAATAATCTCTCAAGTTTATGAAAGGCGGTTAAGGATAGAAATATTGAAGTATTTAGTTTTATTTGACCTTTCTCTCTAAATGGAATGCTTCCAAAAGTAAGGTTTAAAGTCCAAGTCTTCTTTTGTACGATTTGAGGGGGGCGAGAATTTTTTTATTTTCACATTTGTTGGAACATTATTTCCATACATTTATTCAACATTAGAAATTTTTTATATTTTTTATTTTTTATTTTGGAGGGAGTTTGACTTTGAATGACTTTGAATAACTTATTTTAAGGTTGTATTTAGATTGAATTTTCTTAACCGTGATCAATTTAGATCGGAAAATGTTAAAATAGTAAAAATGATGATAAATTTGAACAAAATCAACCCGATCAATGGTATAACTTCTTCTTCCTCAAGTAAATTAAGGAATTCGTGTGTTCTAAATAATAAACCGAGTTTAATCCAACCAACTTGACCAAGCATGCTTGGATTGGAATCATTAAGTTGTAGGAGGGGTTAGGCTAGGGCTTATGTTGAGGCTTCACATGTCCATTACTTACAAATGGTGTTTGTCGACAATAAGATCACCTATCATCCAATAAAATGATGGAAGATGATAGTAATGTAATGTCTTTTGTTGCAGAGCAAATTTTTTATGTATTTATTAAATAATAATAATAGAAACAATTTTTCCTAGTCACATCAACCAATTCCTCTTTTCGGTGTAACCACTATATAACAAGGTCAAATTTTCAATATATATATATATATATATTGGTTCATTAACTTGGTAACCCAATTTTTTTGTCCTAATGATGTGGTTCAAAAACTTTGAATAATTCAAGTTCTGATCACTTACTATAAGTTCTTTTGTACTATATATATATATATATATATATATATATATATGCTTTTTGTATGCTTTTGTACCACTTGGATGGTTGAATTGTGAGAAGCAATACGATATTTGTGGTCATCCAGCAGCCCATCCTTGGTAATAAGTCATCTAACTAATAATGAGGTGGTAGAGAAGTCTAAACCAGAAACTTCCAAGTTATTAGTGATAATATTATTTAAACATCAATTTGATTAGAACAAGAAAAGAAAAGAAATCAAATGGATAAACATTTACAGATACAATTAGAATTGGTCCGATTATTATTATTTTTTATCATGGCACGAATGTTATATTAGAAGTTAGTGAGTGCAAATGTTTGAATTCGGAGTGGACTCTTTAGAACAACAGAGAGCAATCCAACTAGTGGGCTGGGCTACGACGGTGTTGGCCTTCTTGTTGGTCGATTAGACGACTACTCTGGGTAGTATATAATCAGAATAAGCAACACTTTTGACATTGTCTTCTCAAAATCAAAAGGATTTAATCAAATAACATATAAATTTTGGCAGGTTGGTTGGATACCTATATGGGCCGGGCTCATGTTGGGTCAAAAATATGAGGCTCATGTTTAATATGGCCCGGATTTTTACTAACTCTTGGCTAGGCCCCACACAGTTGTGCAAAAGCAGCATTTTTGTCACAGTGAAAAAGAAAATTTCAACTTGGGTGACAGTGACATCTTATATTTAACCCAATGATGACATAGGTTAAAAATCTATTCTATGTGCTCAACATAACTTTTGTCTCGCTAGATGCTGAACAACTCATTAACGATTGTCTCTAAGGATACGACATTTTTTCAATAAACCAAAGTGTTTATACTCTCTCCCAGAGCAGACACTTAAACTAATAAATGTAGAAGAATAACAATAAGGGAGAAAAATCAACTGAGTGAACGAATTGAAAATGCAGCCAAGAGGAGTATTGAAAGATTTGTTGATCGCTGTTCGGGTCAACTCAAACCACCATTAGACACAACCTTTCGACCCGAACTACCATTGGTTGCACTCATTTTGCCCCAACAAACACACCTTGTACCCATTCGGATCTTAACCATTCGCCAAACCGGATCTCGCTTAAGTTGTTGTTTGGTATTGAAAGATTTAAAATAGACCAGGCCCAACTCATTGAAGCCCAAATAGAAAGTATTTGTCCCAAAAAAAAAAGAAATTGCAGGCTTAAAAGGCCCAAACCGAAGCAAAATGTATTTTTTTTTAAAAAGAATAAAGGCTTGAGAACAAGGCCCGCTCAACCATAAGGAAATTCGAATGAGAGAAGAGGCCCATACAAGTGAACTCATTATTATCATAATTGCATTTTTTTTATTATGCTTTGTTTATTATATTAATTACCAAATAAATACCCAATTAAGGGGCAGCCTAAGCCCCCAATAGGAGGTGGCCCCATACAAGTCAACTTATTATATTAATTATGCATTGTTCATTTTATTAATTATTAAATAAATACAACTGTTCTTCTATACGTCAATACAAGTTGATAATTAAGATGGTAGCCTAAGTCCTCGATCAATGGGAGAAAAGGCCTATACAAGTCAATTCATTATACTCCCTCCGTCCCATAATAGATGTCCCTTATGAGGAATAGAACTTTTTAAGGGGACATGTAATTATTGCATTATCCCCTTGAAAAATTACAAAGATACCCTTTCAAGTTTAAATATATATATAATTAAGTTTAAATTTTTTTAA